CTAAGCATGGGCGGGGTGGGGGAGAGCAGAAACCGGCCCCCCAAGCTTGGGGCTGCTGGCTCTTTCTGCCCCACCTCCGCACAGGAGCCTGCTTAATCTCTAGGGTTTAACTGGTTAACCAGGATTTCGCATCCCTGGCTGGTCGTCGGCATTTCGCGGAGCGGGGGCCGTGCTCTGTGCTTCCTGCATGGTTGCACAAGACCCCCCACTTCCTCCCCCACAACGTGGGCTTGCTTTGCTCGCAAGCCCCAGGACCGCGACGGGTCCCTTCCTTCCGCCCACGCTGCCCTTCCAACACCTCGCCGGCAGCGCACGGAGGCAGCGAAGCCGACAGGCCGCCCCGCCGCGAGCCGGCCTGGCGAGGAGGGGGCCGGAGACGTCCTGCACAGGGTGGGGTCTGCCTTTGCAGCGGCCTCCCTCCTTGGTACCCAGCCTTCCCCTTTCACACACGCCGCCATGGCAACAGGTGCCATCGCTATAACAACCTGGTGGATCCCAGCCATCTCCCCAGCTCCTTGTTCTGCGTCTCAGGCTGCAAGCCGGGCCGGGCGCCGCACGCGTTACCATAAGAACAGCCATACTGGGTCAGACCAAAGGTCCATCCAGCCCAGTAGCCTGTCTGCCGACAGTGGCCAGCACCAGGTGCCCCAGAGGGGGTGGACCGAAGACAATGATCAAGCGATTTGTTTCCTGCCATCCCTCTCCAGCCTCTGACAAACAGAGGCCAGGGACACCATTTTATCCCCTGGCTAATAGCCTTTTATGGACCTAACCTCCAGGAAATTATCTAGCTTCTCTTTAAACTCTATTATAGTCCTGGCCTTCCCAGCCTCCTCTGGCAAGGAGTTCCACAGGTTGACTACACGCTGTGTGAAGAACTTTCTTTTATTAGTTTTAAACCTGCTACCCGTGTTGGAATAGGCAAGAGGGGTGGTGGGAACAGGAGAGGGACTGCTCGGAGGGAGAAAACAGGCTGAGCCTGACGAGCACTGACCGGCCCCGGGCCAGGGCTGAGCTAAGCAGGCTCTGCTTCCCCTTTCCCATGCAGGGTGAGGTCGTTTCCTGCACGCTGCTGCTGAGTGGGAATCACCAGACCAGAGAGAGGCAGTGCGGTCTAGTGGGGAGACGCGGGGCTGGGAGTCAGCAGGGCTGCGTACTAGTCCCAGAGCCGCACCAGACTTGCTGGGCTGTCCCCTCGGCTTCTGTTGCCACCCGGCAGCCGGTTAGACCGTCGTTCCTAGGCACCGCCGCGGCCGTGAACGTCAGCACGGCGACGGGCACAGCGGAGCGCCTCTGGGGCACGGGGACGTTGGCGGGTCGCCGGCCACACGAGGAACTCAGGGTTATCGGTTAATCTCATCGACTACCCGCACGCTCCTCCGGCGCCCGCCTGCCACCGCTGATGCAGAGGCAGCAGCGCGGGGCAGCACCAGTCTGTCCGCAGGGGATCCGATATCGAAGATCCCCACGGGAGATACAGCATCACAGGCTGGGGGCAGAAGGCACCACCACCAGTTACCACTCAGACACACAGAGATGCATGGGCTTGCACGAGGGGAATTGCTCATCCATGCGCAAATGGGTACAAGGCATTGCACATGGGGGGAACTGTGCATACACGCAGAACGGTGCACGGCGCTGCACATGGGGAATGCACATTCACGCAGATTAGTGCACAGCATTGCACGTGGGGAACTGCACGCTCACACGCAGATGAGTGCACAGCATTGCACGTCGGGAATGCACACTCACACGCAGATGGGTGCATGGCATTGTACGTGGGGAACTGCACGCTCACACGTAGATGGGTGCGCAGCGCTGTACGTGGGGAATGCACTCACACAGAGATGGGTGCAGGGCATTGTTTGTGGGGAATGCACACTCACACGCAGATGGGTGCATGGCATTGTACGTGGGGAATGCACACTCACACAGATTAGTGCACAGCATTGCACGTGGGGAAGTGCGCGCTCACACGCAGGTGAGTGCACGGCGTTGTACGATGGGTGCACAGCATTGCACGAGGGGAATGCACACTCACGCAGATGGGTGCACAGCATTGCACGAGGGGAATGCACACACACACGCAGATGGGTGCACAGCATTGTATATGGGGAATGCACACTCACACGCAGATGGGTGCATGGGGAATTGCACACACACGCAGATGAGTGCTCGGCATTGCACGTGGGGAACTGCACGCTCACACGCAGGTGAGTGCACGGTGTTGTACATGGGGAATGCACACACACCCAGATGGGTGCACGGGGAATTGCACGCTCACACGCAGATGGGTGCACAGCATTGTATATGGGGAATGCACACTCACACGCAGATGGGTGCATGGGGAATTGCACACACACGCAGATGAGTGCTCGGCATTGCACGTGGGGAATGCACACTCAGACGCAGATGGGTGCATGGGGAATTGCACGCTCACACGCAGATGGGTGCACAGCATTGTATATGGGGAATGCACACTCACACGCAGATGGGTGCTCGGCACTGCATGTAGGGAATGCACACACACGCAGATGGGTGCACAGCATTGCACGAGGGGAATGCACACTCACGCAGATGGGTGCACAGCATTGCACGAGGGGAATGCACACTCACACGCAGATGGGTGCTCGGCACTGCATGTAGGGAATGCACACTCACACGCAGATGGGTGCAGCATTGCACGAGGGGAATGCACACTCACGCAGATGGGGGCGCAG